CGCCGGGGCCCTGGGGGACAGGCGGGCGCGCCTCTGACCCCACATAATGCGGGGCAGCCGAGAGGGGCCCGCCCGTTGCTTAATGCCTTGGCCAACGTTAGGGAGCCGTCGCTGCACCTGCTGACGCTGGGGCCTCCCGGTTCTTGCAGTGTCGCTTCAGGATCCCCCTAGGCTCTTAGAAGTGATGAGGACCTCGGAGAACTGGGGCGTCTCTGAGCTGGAGCGAGGGAGAGCGCCTGCTAGACATCATAGCTGGGAATTTTCAAAGCGTGTTTGCTAATGTAGGTAAAGGAACACACGCATACTAACAAATAACAGTTGTTAAATGTTTTTTTCGAATGGGTCTTCAGTCCGGCTCCGGTGGGGGCACCCCACTGGGAACCCCGAGCCTCGGCCCCGTGCGTGGACAGAGGCCTTGTCACTTTAGAACATTCTGCTGATACCTAATCTAAGACCCCAGCCTGAAACCAGAAACAGGCTGATGAGGCGAGTGCTTTTGAAAGCGGAGTTTTTAAAAATGAAGCTTTCGGGGGCCCTCCCTGGTGGCGTAGGGGGTTAAGCACAGCTCTGCAAGTGGCCGCTGCCGCTTCAGTGCCAGTTCCATTGCCAGCCATGGGGCGGCAGACCGCGCCTGATCACCCGCTGCTCCCCTCAGCAGTGTGCTTTATCCTTCTGCCTGTGCTGCTCCCCGCTCTGTCTCTGGAGAAGCCTCTCACCACCCCTGTACCGCTCACTGGCTTGTACCCCAGTTCTGTGTGCATAAATAAATGAATATTTAAAAAATATATTTTAAAAAATGCAGCTTTTGAACTGCTCTGAGGGTTTGGCCACCAAGCTGGCACCAAATGGCCCAGAAGACTTCACAGTGACGTGCGTGGTCCCTGCTCTAGACCCCACACCCCAATGCTGGGACTGGGCAGTGAAGATGGAGCCAGAAGCTGGCTACTGGTAGTTAAATTTGGGGGGATGAGGTGGAAAGTACTGGAATTTTCCATGACTGGGGTGGGGGCATCCAGGGCTTCCCTAGCCCCCTGCCCTGATTGATTAGGGGATACCTGTGTTAAATGGTCTCCACTTACATCTTTCAGAGAGTATGCAGCCTCTAAAGCTGCCAAACCCTGACATAGGCATAGGGAGGAGAGGGGGTGAAGGGCAGGTGCCCCATGGGCAGGTAGGGACAGGTGGGCGTTCAGGTGCAGTCAGGATGTGCCCACATGATTCAGATGCTGCTGGTCGGGGACTTCCTGTACCTACCCCACCATGGATAACTCTGTTGACCTTCAGGGATAACACTATTTCCTGCTCTGGATTGCATAACTTATCTTATCATAGTCTGACCTGTGGGCACTTTCACTTGTTAGGCATAGGTTATGACAGGGTCAGGAAGTTCATGGGTAACTGCAGGGGTTCCCTTTGAAGCTCTTCACTCTGAAGGAGGCATTTTGTCAGCTGGCAAAGCTGGGAAGAAAGACTCTTTGAAATACAAGACAAGACCTTTTATCTTTAAAAGGAAAAAAAATTTTGTGTTTCTGATCAGGAGTCTTTATATAGCTCTTCTCTGGGTCTCCTTAACCTGTCAGTTATTAAGGAACTGGGCTCAGCCCCTCTCCCCCAGATCTCCATCAGCTGATTTGTTCTCGTAATTTAAGCCTGAGCTCAAATGGTAATACCTTAGGAAAGCCTTCACAGACACCAGACCCTGGACCCACAGACACCCCCATCATCTCCTGATTTTTTTGCCTGTTGAGAATCACACTACTGTGTTTCTCTCTGTGCTGTCTGTTATCCCAGCCCCACATGGCAGGGGCCCAGTAACCAGGCACTGAGTGACTTTGCTTCCAGCGAATTCCATGCTAATGGACACAGTAACACAAATCAGGAGATGCACATAAGTTATTTTTCAGTGGAAAAGCCCACCATTCTGGAGGAATCTGTGAGTATCCGTGTAAACACACAAAAACTTCAATTACTCTACCCAAGTTGCAGTGGGATCGGACTCTGGTTGACTTCCTGCACAATACGGTGAAATCATCATTTGATCTCACACAAGAATCAGAATACAGGCAGTGGGATAGCTGTGCTCTGACAGTGGAAAATTAGGTAATAAAACCTAGATTCTGAGGGCTTTCTGGCATTTGCTTCTACAAAAAGTCTGCTTGAATATTCTGCTAACTAAATTCTTCCTCTCCCGAAGTTCAAGGACCTCTTTGAGGATTTTCTTGATTGAGAATTGCTTACCTGGTCTTTATGAATATTGATAAACAACAGCTACCCATTCACCCTGGAATGCACCATTCACCCTGGAATGCACTCACCGTGAATATGGAGGGACGTGACCCACACCTGTCCCCTAACCACACGTTGTCTTGGTCTTCCCATAAGAAAACCCACTTGGGAAGATGTAAGACATCCTTTTCCCTAATCTATCTTCTGAATAGATAGTCTGTAGGACTGAATTCTACAGACACATCATTAGCATGCCAAACAGATGTCTGTAAAGATAATGGTTAATTTCACCTGATGATTCAAATAGTCTTCGTGACCTTTTTTTCATAAAAAATGTTTTTGGAAAAATTTGACATGTAACATTGTATAAACTCAAGATACTACCTGTTACTTTAATACAGGCACATAATTGTGATATGTAATATCACCTAACCCTTCTAAGTGTTAGTTATAGTAATTCTCAGTTTTATGAATGAAGCAACTAAGCTCAGAGAGGTTGCCTGACTAGCCCAAGGCCGCACCGCTTTGGATCACCACTTCAACTCAAGCTGTTGACCCCAAAGTTACTATTTTTGTTTTGTGGAACTGCTGTCTAGATGACACAAAGTTCCCTGGACTGACTGACAACTTCTTCCTGCAGAAACAAAAACTATATTGATACAGATCTTCCTCTTTTCACCAGGAAATGAGGAAATAATCAATATTGCCTATTATTTCTTTACTGGGTGCTGGCCAAAGTAAGCAGCCTGTGTCATATGCTGTAGGAGAGACCAAAACAGGTGCTGCTCATCATATCAAGGAAGTTTTTGTCGAATGGGGCAGAGAACCCCAAAACAAGTGTCACTGTGATTATGACCTCAGTGACCTGGGCGTTCAATCCTGGCGTTCTTCAAAGCATGAACCATCCAGTATAAAATAAACCTTGACTATATGCTCTGTTGGCCTCAGGAAAACTCTGCTGGGAAGACAGGACGATTATCACCACATTGCGGTGAGGGCCCGGAGGCCGAGATACGTAAATTATCACAGGGTCATCTGGGAGGAGATGACAGAGCTGGGGTAGGAACTCGCCAGAATATCTTGGCTATTCGCTGTTTTCAGTGGTGCAGTTTCCCAAGTTCAAATCACAATATTACGTTGAATAAAGCGTGGCAGATTGGGAAGCCAAGTCACTGCTCTTCTGTGCAATTTGCAAGAGTCTGAGCTGGTGAGACAGTAATGCTAGAAGTGATACTTACAAGGGTCTCTCCTGTGCTAATAACTTGATAGGTATTCTTGTCCCAAAAACTGCAAGCAGGTGGCTGTCAGCCCTGCTGTTTTCAGGAGACCTGGTTTACTATGAGGCCATTGTCCGATGTGGAAAGAAAGTCCCCTAAGTTCCCACAATCATGAAACCATCCTACAATGACTGATGGTTTCCAAAATCAGAAAGGGAGTCTAAGACTCCCACCCAAGTTTACCCCAAGCTTTTAAGCACAGAACCTTATTGCCTTGGGGTCTTACCGCTCTAAGGGAGCGTGCGTTTCAGTACCCAGAAACCAAGCCACTGCCCAGCAAGGACGCCCTCACCCCACACACTCACCCCCACACACATGCACACACACCTACACACTCCCACATACGGATCTTGTCATCTGTGGTCGCTTGGTATGAGGGCTGAGGTATAATTATCCATTCAGGACGTGGCAAGTTTTCCCAGAACAGAGCCTGGATCGTTTGGGTAATGATAGCGAGCATGTGTGAGGCACTTCAAGATCTCTCATTAGTAACTCCCAAGAGGAGCCTGGTCAGGATGACTCAGAGCCCAGGTACAGAGTAGGGAAGAGGGAATTTCTGGGACAGGCCTCAAAGCAGTCATTTTGAATCCAGCCGCACCTCATTAAGGAGGGAAGGAAGTGGGTGTCAGTGTGGGTTCAGAGAAACAGCCTCACTTTCTTCCACAATCCAAGATAAAATGACCGCGAACTTTCCCCAACGATACAAGAAACCAATTTCCCCCAAAGAGGACTTTTCTTCCATAAAAGACTAGAGAGTCTAAAGATGACACTAAATTAAGAGAATAGACTTCACCTCCAAAAACTCTACTTGTTGTTCATAAAGCATCTAGTCCTGGACTCCTGTGAAAACGCAGCAGCCTTTAAATGATACCCTTTTCTTCTTGAGGGCACCTGCAGAGAGAGAAAAAGAACAGGCGGGAAATAACCCTACTGACCTGACAGTGGGAGCCAGCGCCTACTGAGCCCTTACTGTGTGCGGAGGGAGGCCGGAAGCAGGCTTCATGGAGGACCCTAGAGGGCCCTTCTGTGTGGGGCTGATCCTTCCGAGTCAGCACATGGAATAGCACTTGCATCACGGCCCAGCACATCTTGTACCACAAAGATTCTTACTCCCCTCTGGAGGGATCCCCCTGTGAGGAAGATTTTCAATTAAATAAAATTTTCTTGATTTAAGGAAAGGTAATGTCACCCAGCCCACTGTAGAGGTATGTGTGTGTGTGTGTGTGTTGGGGGTGGGAGGTTTCAAGGGTCCAGGTACTGGAAAACCCCATTGTGAACCCCAATAGTCCAGACCATGACATAGGACATAATGTAACTGTGTAAAGTGTGTAAAGTTCTGTTGTCTGTGTTCATTTATTTTTTTTAATTGAGCGAACTAAATGGGAACATTTGTGTGAAGCAAGTTCTTAGTGCAATGTTTGCTAGGGGCCCTGAGAAGCTTTGCCTGGGTATGACATAACATAGGGTATCTAAGAAACACCTGCTACCTGTTGCATACTGTGTAGTGATCCCCTGTAGTGAGATAGAGGGCTGTGAAGGACTAGCTCTCTAAGCAGACATAACACATTCCAAACCGATGGCATATTTCAGAGAAATTCCACATAAGGAGCCCTTTCTTAGCATGAACCGTCACTAAATGCTCAGGTCAGAGACAGCATTCAGGCTAAATTTCCACTAGGACAGACTTTTCAAGAAACAAACAAGGTTACAATAAACCTGCCTGGGAAGCACCTGCCTACGGGCCTGGGTCAAAACGACCCAGTCACTGACGACACAGTGTCACTTCCTCCCTGGCTGGCGCTAGTTTTGTGTTGGATCACAATCAACAAAAATCAGTTCTCAACAAAAATCTTCACCTTCTCTTCCTGAATTAAAAGAGCAAGTTTGATGCTGCTCACTGCGTGTGACCACACTGGGCGGGTCCGGAAAGGTGGTGGGGCGGTGGCTGCCAGGGCAGGTGGGTATCCCGAGCCCAGGGTGAGTGTTTCCCACGGGGAGGGAGGGGTGATGGGACAGGTGCCCCCGGGACAGGGCAGCCCCGCGTGTCCATCCCAGCTCAGATGAGGCTCTGTGACCTCACTTGCAAGAATTCATTAAATCTCTAGCAACCTGAAACGAAGCGGCCAGGGAGACAACGGGCACACTCTTAGCCTGTGGCCTGGGGGCACAATTCCCTCTTGGGGTGCATTTCCGTGTCAAACTTTCCCCGCAGGACCCAGCCGGGGCCGGCGACCTGGCTCCCGCGAGGCGCACGGCTCTGGGTCGCGAAGGCGGCAGCAGCGCTCCCGGCCCGAGACCTCGCTGCCCCGACGCGATTGTGCGAGGCCCTGCGGCCGGCCGCGCCCGCCCGCTGCTGCCCGCCAGGGTGAGGCGGGAGGCGCTGGACGCGCGACCGCTGCACTCGGGAGCAGCGCGCCCCGCGGCTTATCTGCGGGGTGGAGCCCCGGGCTCTCCCGCCCCAGCAGCCGCGCGGGTCACCCGAGGCCCGGCGCCCTCGCTCACCCCCGCTGACTCCATCTATTTGCACCCGCCGGCCCCAGCCCCGCGCGTCCCGGGCCGGGCCAGCCGGGCCCACTCCGCCCCGCTCGGCGAGCTCATTGGCACCGGGGCGGGCCCGTCTCCATAAATACAGGGTCCCGGCACGACAGGGCCAGGAGGAACGCCGGCGCCAGCAGCATCTCCGCCGCCCTGCACCTCCGCCTCTGGCCCCAGCCCTGGAAGCCAGCCTTGCGGGCCTAAGGGCAAACCCGCACCCCTTCCTTCCCTCTCCCGAGAGACCCCTCGCAGCTGCACCTCGGCAGCGCCTCTCGCCCGCTTACTCCCACCCCGCGCCCGCCCGGAGGCGCCACACGGCGCCCAGAGTCCAGCATCCTGCCGAGGCCCTTTCTCTGTCCCTCCGCTGCCTCGCCCATCACGCCTCGGGCCCTCTTCGCCTCTCTTCCCATCAGCATCCAGCCCCCACATCCAGCCGGCACCGCTTCGTCCTCGCCTCGCCCTGTCCTCTCGCGCCCGGTGTCCCCCGCTGCCATGAACCCCCCTGTCAGGAAGAGCAGCTCCCTGGCCCCCTTCCTAAGGCAGCTGCGCAGCCTGGGGCAGCTCCCCAGACCTGTGCCGTTGCCGGCCTGTCAGACCCCCGCGCCAGGGGAGGTGCCCCGCTGCCCGTTGGCAGGGCCACGGGATGCGCGGAGCGCAGCTGCCCTGCCCGGCCCCACCAACTGGCCACTCTTGGGGAGCCTGCTGGAGATTCTCTGGAAAGGGGGTCTCAAGAAACAGCATGCCACGCTGGTGAGTGCCTCGCCGCTCCTCCGTTCCCTCTCCCCTTCCTGCGTGCGCTCCAGGCGCTCCAGACCCTCCCGGCCGGCCAGCGCCGTGCGCTCCAGGGTCCCTGCCGGCTCCCGGGAGGAAGGAGGCAGGAGGAGAGAGAAACAGAGAAGCCTCTGGGCGGCCTCTGGGCGGCAGGGGATGCGCGCTGAGCTCGCACCTGCTGCAGGCGCAGCACCACAAGAAGTATGGCAAGATTTTCCGCATGAAGTTGGGGTCCTTCGACTCAGTGCACCTGGGCTCGCCGTGCCTGCTGGAAGCGCTGTACCGCACCGAGAGCGCGTACCCACAGCGGCTGGAGATCAAACCGTGGAAAGCGTACCGGGATTACCGCCAGGAGGGCTACGGGCTGCTGATCCTGTGAGTCCAGGGGGCAGGATGGGCCTGGGATGCCGCCTGACGCCCGTGGAAACTGGGACGGGCAGGACTTGGGGGGGCCCTGGGGTTGGACCCCTTAGGGGGGCTGCGCGCACTAGAGCAGTTGGGAGCTGTTCAGTAAGACAGGGTGGGGGGGGGGGACTGTACAGCACCTGGCTTCTCGCTGACAACCGCAGGGCCCTTACTGGCCATCCAAGAAATGCCAGCAAGTGCCACCTCTTGGGCAGAAGAAAGTTCAGAAGTCAGTGCCAGAGGCACCAACAAAATTGTCCTTAATTTTGTAGCTCTGATGTGAAAGGCAAGGAAGCCTTTGCTTTTGATAGTGGCCTTCCTTTGGGGGAGGGGAGTAAGGGGTTATGACCTAGGACTAGTAGAAGGGTGGAGTGTGGAGGTGCCAGAATAGATTTTTCCACAGCTATACAACATGGTGCCATTGCTCTGCCCTCGCTGTGGGAGCATTAAACAATCCAGCCCACTTCTCTCCCCCAGGGGTAATGCCCAATAGCTGCATTTTCCAGGATGTAATTACTGCAGTTAGAATCACGGGAGGTGGGATGCATCCCACACTCTGTGGTGGGGGGTGAGTGTGGATGGGGTGCCTGGGGGCAGCAGCATGCCTTTTGACCCCCATTTGGAGGCCATGGCAACATTCTAAATTTTAGAGGGTTAGCCAGTGGAACTTTCAACGCATGTCCATGGATTGAAAGAAGATAAAAGTTTTATCTCTGACCCATCCAGGTTCCAGGTAAGGGGCAGCTCACGACCCTTTCTGCTAGGAATTGGGGCTCTGACCTCCCAGCTCAACCCCAGCAAGGGCACCTCAGATGCCTGGACTGCAAGTGATTCTGGGCTTCACCTTTCTGGCATAACCGTTGGCTGAGAAAAAGTGGTTTTCGTCATATCATTTAACCAGCACCAAATATCCCAGTGCTAATGTTCACAGGCTATTCCTTGGCATGATTCCCAGGGTGTGTTGGATGAGGGAGTTTGCACAGTGAGAGCTACGGCGTCTTTGCCTTTCCCTCTGTCCCTTCCGAAGTGCTCTGAGTATAATTCTGCTTCTCCACCAGGGAAGGGGAAGACTGGCAGAGGGTCCGGAGTGCGTTTCAAAAGAAGCTGATGAAACCGGTGGAAATAATGAAGCTGGACAGCAAAATCAATGAGGTCTGCTGACTGGGACCAGATTTCCAGCCTCTTTTAGGGAAAGGGGGATGTTTATGGGGGGAAAGCTGGTGACTTTCTAGACATTTCTAGATCTTTCCTCTATACCACAAAAGTTGTATGTATGTGCTTGTTTCATATATATGTATAGATTGATAGATACACATACACATATAGGTATATGCAAAAATTTCTCCCTTCAATGGGAGGCAATTTTGAACCATGTTAAAATAGGCTAAACTACCCAACATCCATATTCCTCCCACCTCACCTTCCTTTTAAAACAGTATTGCTCTCTATGCAGACATTGGTCTCTCCAGTCTTGAATAAGTCTCAGCTTTCTATCTCCTAGCTATGTAATACAACTATACCATTTTATCTCCCTAAGCTTCAGCATCCCAATCTATAAAATGGGAGAAACAATTCACTCTCCATAGGCTTGCTGTGAGGACTAAATGAAATCATGCTCTGAAGCTCCTATTTGAACTGGGTTTTGCAGGATGAGTAGGAGTCTGCAAGACAGAAAAGGTGGAGAAAGGCACTCAGTGAGGGAGAATGGGCTGCTGAAAATAAGGAGGCATGAGATGACATATGGTGTGTTCAGAGACGAGTGCATGCAGGCATCATTTCTTGTAAATGATGATAGACAGTTCTTTCAACAGTTTTTTTGTTCCCTGCTAAGGTACTTAGACATTAACCTTCAGCCAACTGGAGACCAAAAGATCAGGGTTTAAATAGATAATAATGTCTTTTTTACTCCCTTTCATTCTGGGTGTTTACTTTAAACTGACCTTGAATGCAGATAGGATCATATAGGTGAAAGATTGCAAACCCAGAAGCTTCCAGAGGCTGGGAAGTTAATGTAAGTGTGTAAGGCAGGCCCAGTGGAGATTTTAGCAAACAGAAGCGTGACTTTTCTAGAGGGAGCCGCTGCCCTGGCTCCAGCAAATGACTGCTTCGTAGGAGTGTCGACCTGCTATCACCAGACCTTGTCATTATTATTATCATTATTATTATTGTTATTGTTATTACTACTACTACTACTACTACTACTACCATGACAAATAATGGAAATGCATCCATTCATGTGAAATCTCTGGATTTTCCAATGGTAGTAAATTGGAAGTACTCTTTAATACATTGTGTGTGCAAATGAAACATTCCATTGGTGACATGGATGGATTTGTAGGTGCACACCCTGTATTTCAGGCCCTCCCCTCCCCACTTTACACCTATATGTGCAAGGACGAGAGCCTAAACCACTCCCAAAGCCTTGGTTTTCTCCCTTGTTACCTGTCTGCCTCACCTGGTTGTGATGAGGATTAGATTAAATAACATGCTTTGTACAGTTCTCAGTACCAGACAAGACTTGTTAAAGTGTGATGCACTCATTATCGAAACCCTGTTTTGGAAACTGGCGTCTAGGTTGTTTTATGTAACTGGTCCAAGGTCATAGAGCTATTTGGTGAGGAAGCTCTGTCTAAAATTTGTGGATTTCTTGGCTCCAAGTTCAACATGCTTAGCACAGTTCTGACCAGTAAGGAGATGCTTGCTTACCCAGATATGAAGGTGGCAGAGCACAGGCGATTTCTAGCATCTGAGTCTTTGAGATATTGTGCCAACAAGTTCCCAGGCCGGTTTATCTGACATCCCTACTAGGGGAAATGTTTCCCCTTTCTTAGATTTAGATCAAATGCTGAAACTTGAACTAACATATGTCTTCAGCAGGAAAAGCAGAGGGAATAGCCCAGGATAAGGATATGAGGGAGTGATGTGAGCTTCCATGGTGAATACAGAGTCAGTGTTGCTTATAGCCAATAGCATTCTAAGCCTGGAATACACTGTATAGTAAAACTTCAAGGTTGTTACCTAAGCTTAAGCTGCTGTTTTCCTTCAGTGTGTCTTTTGTGGTCTCTTTCTTTTAAGGTCTTGGCTGATTTTATGGATAGACTAGATGAGCTCTGTAATGAGCAAGGCTGCATTGAAGATTTATACAGTGAGCTGAACAAGTGGTCGTTTGAAAGTAAGTTATCTTCATGGTCTAATTTGGCGAGTGACTTTGAGGGTCAAATTCAGAGGTCAGCAACTCAGCAAAAACCATACACTATATTGAGAGTAACAGGGCAAGGGGAATGAAAGACATGGGAGCCTTTTCATGCATCCAGACACTTAACAGATGCACTGTTTGCCTGATGGATTGTTTGTGTGGAGTCCTTCAACAAACATTCACCATACACCTCCTATGTGCCAGGCACTCTGGCTGAGGCCAGGGAGTGGAGAGGACTCCCCAGTTCAGACCTGCCCCCCCCCACCAGCTCAGCATGCCTTGAAAGGTGTGGTCCCACCATGTTACCACATTAGAGACTCCCGTGCAAATAAGAAATCCTCGGAAGAGGTTAAGGGAAAGTGACAAAATGATTATAGGGGAGAACCAAGTGCATGTTTTGGGAATTGTTTCCCCATGCCCAGAAGAGGTTTTGAATGTATTCATTACAAATTAAAAACTTGACTATAGTCGTTTAAAAGTGCCTGGCATTGCAGCCAGCCCTCAGCTGGCACACCGTGAGGGCAGTGGGCACACACGCTCACTCAGGAGTTTGTTCCTCCATTCTAGGCTTGTTGGCTTGTTGCCAAATGGCTGCTGGCTCTCCTGGCCTCACCTCTGCATTCTAGGCAAGGAGGAAGGAGGGTACTTGTCCCCTCTACCAAGAAAGCAAGAGTGAATTCCCTTTGGTTTCAGGGGTCAGACCTGGGTCACAGCCACTCTGGCCGCTGCAAGGAAACCTGGAGGTGGGAGACAGAGATGCCCTCAGAGGCTAGGTCATCCCTGACTGGCCCTGAGGACAGATGCACTGATGCCCTGCACGAAAGTGTGGTTCTCTAGGGAGAATGAGCTCTGTGACCAGCCATGCCTGTTACATGACATCACTGATGAACTCTGACAAAAGCACTTAGGAGAGATCCATGAGTGCATGAAAACGGCTCCCTCTACTCTGTGGTGGACCTTAGTGGATCAGTCAACAGTGTTGCACCCAGAAAACCTGGCAAATGGGACAGATGCAATGGGGGAGAAATCAGCGGGAAGGGCTGGTCCCTCTCACACAGCGCTGCGCATTTCCTCGTGGCTCCTTTACCTTCCTGCTCTCAAGGCTTCTCAACTGCCTTAGGCACCTGAGTCCCATAGGTGACTAGCGACACAGCAAGAGAAACAGGACACAGCTGAGTGAGCCACTCGGGGCTGACCACGGGGCACCTCTGCCACCGTCCTGGTCTCCCTGTGGCCGGAATGACGAAGGACAAGTCCTTTGTGATCAGGAGACTCCTCAGGCCCAGACACCTGAGGGCCCCACACCTGCACCTCTGTGCAGCCCCTCGCTCTGCCTGTGCTCCTGCTGCTTGGGCCAGACCAATCTCCCGCTAGCATCGCCTCTGGCACAAGAGGGCCGATTGCTTCACCTAACAGGTATCTGTCTGGTGCTCTACGAGAAGAGATTTGGACTCTTCCGGAGGAACACAGAGGAGGAAGCCTTGAACTTCATCCTGGCCATCAAAACAGTGAGCATCCCCATCCCAGGAGCTGCGGCTCTGCCAACTGTCTGATACAGAAGTTGGCGCGGGGCATCGCGTGGGCTTCCGCGAACAGCACACGGCTTGTCCCGGTGCTGTGTCTGTTCTCACATGCTGGGTGTTTTCAGGCGTGAGTGTGCCCACGCGCACAGGTAATAAAGCACGTTAGATCGTCGCTTGTTTGAACAAAGTGAAGCAGGTATTTCAGTTGACGGGCTCATGGTCACACAGCTATTTTTAGAGTCCCAGTGTGTTTGATTTAAGATGTTGAGTGGTCTGAGTCGTGTGTGGGGGTGGTGGGCGATGAGAAGTTGGTTTAGGAATGGCTGAAGTTTGGAAATAGAAGTGAATATGAAAGTCATAGTTTTCCTTTTTTTTAAACATCAGATCAAGTGTTTCTGGAAGCACAGCCAGGGGCAACCAGCCCCACGATGAAGTTAAAGGCGTCCTTGGGGTGGAGGGGGGACCCCTCCGGGATGGGAAGTGGGGGAGGCTGGGAGTGCCCAGAACGCAGCCTCTGGGGAAGCACAGGGGACTTGTCCACACCCAGCCCTGCAGAGGGGCAGATTTCTATGGGGGTGGGGGGTGGAGGTGGTGGGGGGACAGAAGGAAGATGGCAGGGTCTCTGTTCCTCTCAGATGATGAGCACGTTTGGGAGGCTGATGGTGACTCCAGTGGAGCTGCACAAGGGACTCAACACCAGAGTGTGGCAGGCCCACACGCAGGCCTGGGACACCATCTTCAAGTCAGGTGAGAGCCGAGCTCCTGCGCCGGGCGGGGCTGCTGGGGAGGGCGGTGGCTGGTCCCCGTGGCCAGTCCGGATGCGGATGCAGTGGCTCAGGCAAGGTCCCCTACGGCCTCAGACGGTGCAAGGAAGACATAATGCGGGTACTTCTCGCCCTCATTCACCGACTAACTCCTTTGCCTTGTCCTCTCTTCCCTTAGTGAAGTCTTGCATCGACAACCGGTTAGAGAAACACGCGGAGCGACCCTCTGAAGACTTCCTCTGTGACATTTATCACCGCAATCAGCTTTCCAAGAAGGAATTATATGCTTCGGTCACAGAGCTGCAGCTGGCTGCAGTGGAGACGGTAAGGGATGAGGGGTGGGGGTGGGGGGCTCAAGTCCTTTGCTAAATAAACAGCATAAGTTCCTTCTGGAGATTTTAAGGAGGCACTGAGCGCCCCTTTCCCTGGATTACCTGAGCGCTCGCTTACCCCCCAAAAGAGGCAAACCCCCAAGACAGGTGACACAGGAGGCCCAGGCTGGACCTTTGCACTGAAACGTGAAGGAGCAGAACCCACGTGCTCCAGTGAGAAACCCAGGGCAGGGTGTTAGGGAGAGACATGCAAACGGAATACTGTACTTCTTAACCAGGTGGGTCTTCTAGATTTTTGACAGTGGAGTGGTCAGGGGGGTCACAAGTATTAGTTACCCTGAAGTGCTTAACTTGGGCGGTCACTTACTGTAAGCATCCTGGAAGAGTCTTTACCCGCCCAGCCATATTTCTGCTGCAGAAAACTAACTGTAAGCAGAGTGAATTTGAGGAAACTTGATTTCAATTTAAATAAAAGTGCTCATTTTAAGTGCCAGAATTCTGCCCGAAAGCCGTTGTTAGTCCTGATACTGGGTACAGCCAAAATCCTAACACAAGAACCCACAAGTGTTCCAGTGGAGTTGATGATCTTGATTCATTTTTTAAAAAAGATTTATTTATTTATGCCTACAAGACCTGGGCTGCAGGCCAGAAGATGAGAGGATTTACTAGGCACAGAGTGGGGAGCAGAACAGGCAGATCTACTGAGAGGCATTGCTGAGGGGAGCAGCGGGGGACAGGAAGGGTCTGCGATGCCATGTGGGGTCACCTCCGGGGCGGGGATCGAACTCCTGCTGCAGTGGCTATGGACAGCTTCACTGTGCTGTGCTTTAATCTGTTGCACCACCAGGGAGGGCCCCATATTGAATTTATTTTTTAACAAAGCTCTTGTTAGCAACAATCCTAGATTCTATAGCTCTTTTTCTGCATTCAATTTTTATATCAATATTTTCCTCTTTTTTTTTCTAGATTTATTTATTTATGCCTACAGAGCTGGGGTACAAGCCAGAGGTGCAGGGGCAGTGAGAGGATTCACCAGAGACAGAGTGGGGAGCAGAACAGGCAGATGGATGAAGTACACTGCTGAGGGGGGCAGCGGGTGGGTCGGGAGAGGTCTGCCGCGCCCTGTGGGTCACCTGTGGGGCAGGCGGGGATCGAACTCATGCTGAAGTGGCTTTAGCTTCTAAGTGCTGCGCTTTAACCCCCTGTGCCACCAGGGAGGACCCTACATGAAGCCATTTTCAGTGAAACTTTTTTGAAGTTCTGTTTTACTTTCATTGTGTCATCTTGACTGAGGGGGTGTCAGTTTATAACTCTGCATATGATTTAGGGGTCTAGGCTTAGGTGTAATGACGACCCCACACACAGTCCAGGGTACCCCCCACAGTCAGCTTTAAGAACACGTTGTTGGTGGACGACCACAGGTGCCTGGTGGTGGGTGTGCTGGAGTCACAGACGCCGGCTCTCGACCTCTAAGCCATACACAGTATCGTAAGCCATTTTTACCTCCATACAATTTTTTTTTAAATATTAAAGCTTCTCTTGATAATTATAAGTTCGCTTGCAGTTCTAGATTTCTGGATTCTTCACCCAGCTCTCCCCCAGTGGTCACATCTGGCATAACAACGGAACAATGAGCCGGAAGTGCCTGCAACCCACCCATCTGACTTCCATCACTTTAACCTGCTTTCAATTGTGTTCAAACTAGTTTTGTGATAAAGCATATTTAAGTATCTTCACCCAGTTGAGTATATAAAGGATTTCCTCTCACTTCCCTCAGTACATAAGCTATCCTTAATAGATGCATTTTGCAAAATAAATCTGATTTTTCACACGTTGTGCTTATTTAAGGCACAGCAGACAGACAGGCATAAACAAGCATCGCCGAGGGATGAGCCAAGACAGGCTGTGTAGACGCTGCCTTTGGCTCAGTTCAGACTGGATTTAAAGCAGTTTATTTGCAGACACTCAACTTTGTCCATTTGACTTTCAGACAGCAAACAGCTTGATGTGGATTCTCTACAACCTATCTCGCAATTGCCATGTGCAACAAAAGCTTCTCAAGGAAATTCAGAGTGTGCTGCATGAAAACCAGATCCCCCGGGCAGAGGATTTGAGGAATATGCCATATTTAAGAGCCTGTCTGAAAGAATCTATGAGGTAGAACACTTGTCCAAGCCAATGTGAATATGTCAGAAAGCTGTTCTCTTACAAGTTGATTCACGAACATTTAACAAATTGCAGAACAAGCCTCAGGAGCATATTCCTTATCTGTTACTCACTTCCTAAACATTTGGAGAAATTCTGTTAGACCTTGGAAAGTCCATGCCTTCCTTCAATCAGTAATGATAACGTTGCAGTGCAGGCTCTAAGTGCTAATTAAGATCTTGGGCACGCTTGAAGGACAGCATGAACGCTCAGCAGGAAACCATGTTATTATGTGATAAGACACAGACACTGCTTTGGTTTCAGGCCTCTGGTAGAGGTTACTTGAAAATTCCTTTATCCTTGCTGGAGAACAAAACCTATATCTTATGATCAGAAGGAAATAACTAACTTCATGGAGTGTTGACAGGAGAAACCTAGAAAAACATCAGGCTTGAGCTGAAGCACGACAAATACATACCTTGGAGCCTGGACTGAGTTTGGGGAACCCCGCGGCACCACGCAGCCTGGGGTGGGGGCACAGCCGACACAATCAGACAATCAGCAGGGGAGAAAAACACCTGCTTGCAAACGCCAGCGGGGGGCGGGGGGGGGGAGAGACAGATCGTTTTCCCTAGGAGTTGTGGTCATTTGGGGGCAGCCATCCCAGGCCTGCCGTTCATGGTTGATTCAGGCAATTGGAAAAGGAATCTTGGCATGTCAGGTGTCTGAGACGCTGTTAGTGCTGAAGCAGGGGCTGGCACTCAGGCAGGCAGGCAGGCAGCGAGACAGGAGGCTGAAAGCCCAGAGAAGCTGAGCCCACCCCCCTTCCTACCGTCCTGCAGCCAGTCACAGCTGAGCAGACAGTGCAGCTTCGGGCTGTCTGTTGCTTGCCAAGCACCCAAAGGTAGAAAACGTAACTGATGCACTTTGGGGCTCTGGGCTGACTGTTGTCTGGAAGGCAATGAAGCTCCTGATTTAACCAGGCGCTTACACCTGTGTCCCCTTTTTGAGTGTGGATTTGTGTGGCAAGTATTTTTTTTTCAAAGATTATTTTATATATTTATGATACACGAACTGGGGTACAGGCCAGAGGTGCGGGGGTGAGATGATTCCCCAGAGCAGAGTGGGGAGCAGAACAGGCAGATCCACTGAAACCTACTGCTGAGGGGAGCAGGTCTGCTTTGCCCTGTGGGTCACTCCCTGGCAGGGGATAGAACTCCTGCCCTGCAGTGGCTGGCAACAGCTTGATCTGAGACTTTAACCCCTGCAGCACCAGCAAGGCTGCAGCAATTATTTACTTAACCGGAATTCGCATTCCAGCTAGAATCTGATCTGACCTGTTCCCCCTCTCGCCTTTGATTCCCTTCCCTCAGGCTGACTCCCAGTGTGCCGTTCACCACTCGGACGCTGGACAAGCCCACGGTTCTGGGTGAATATGCTTTGCCCAAAGGAGTAAGTAAAATTTATATCATCAGCAGCTGATAGGGCTTCGGAAGATACCTGGTCCAAGTCGTCAGGTTCCCTCAGAACGCAGGGAGAGCTTTCATTCTGTGTGCTGCACGCAAAACGCACACACTGCATTGCCAGTACAAGGAATCACAGCGAGCAGACAAGGGGTCCTGGGTGCAGGGGTAGCCTTGAGTGGGCTACGCAAAACCCACGAGCCTCTTTTTGCACATCTGTAAAATGGGAATCATGAAGAATCTACCCCGTGGAGCTGGCGAGAGAATGTGGTATAAAATAGTGATATAAAATAGTTAAGTTAAGCTCACCTATTTGGGACCTGGGCCCTTTCAAGCTCAATGCCTGTTGACCACCACCACCATTTAACCCCGGACAGTGGGGGGTGTGGGGGGACTTACTTTACATCTCAAGGTGGTCACGTGTGAACGCCACTCTTCAACTATCTCCTTCCATTTTTTCTAACGTGGCTGGGTCTCTGCCTTTGCAGACCGTGCTGATGCTAAATACCCAGGTGCTGGGATCCAATGAAGAAAGTTTTGGAGATTCAAGTCAATTTAGACCTGAACGATGGCTTGAAGAGAAGCAAAGGATCAATCCTTTCGCCCACCTCCCGTTCGGCATCGGGAAAAGGATGTGCATAGGGCGCCGACTAGCAGAACTCCAGCTCCTTCTCGCTGTCTGCTGGGTAAGACCTGCCTGGCCTCCAGGCTGTGTTCCGGGGGCCCCACAAGGCAGGGGGGGCTGACGCTGCTCCTCTGTGCCTGTGTGCTGCAGATTGTCCGCAAATACGACATCGTGGCCACGGACCACGCGCCTGTGGAGACGCTGCACCTGGGCATCCTCGTGCCCAGCCGGGAGCTGCCCATTGCTTTCCACCAGCGGTAGACCCCAGGTGGGCATCCGGTGTCGCAGCCAAGGAGTGTGAGGGGGGAGCCAGTGGGCAGACTGGACTCTGAACCGGGGAGCAGTTACTTAAACTCGCTACCTGTGATTTAGTTTCCCTGGTACAGCGAGGAGCTGCAGGGCGTCTGTCCAGAAAGTGGATGCGAATGCTAGTGTGGAGCCCAGAGCAGGCATCGGCGGCATGCTCAGCTAACACGCAATGCTGCTGTGGTGATTGTGTGGGTTATCTGGGGAGAACACGCTTTTTCTGTGAAGGACCCGTTGGCAATCCTTTAGACCTCGTGGCTAAATATTTTAGACTGTGTGCTGTCAAGTCTACAGCTAGTGAGCAAGTCAACAGCCGTTTTGACCCTTCGGAATCTGTCCTGAGTGCATACAGCAAACAAGGAAGCATTTCTTCAGTTACTCCACCAAATCCTGAGTAGGTTATTTAAGGGAACATACATTACAAATGAAACTTCTAGCTGAGCCCCAAAGGAAACCCTCCCCAGGTGGCTGCGTCCCTGGGGGCAACCTGTCAAAATCAACAGTGCTGAAATCAAGGCAGGCAATGACGGGATCCCAGCTTAACTTTGAAGTCCCAGTCTTCAGCCAGGACAGCACCCATGCAGCTCAAGGCAAACCACACGTTGGGTAAAGCCCGTGGCTATTTATGGCTTTAGCACAGTAATTCCTTCAGCTTAATTTACTTCTTTGACATATAATTGTGGTATGCTTTTTTTTCCCCAGATTTTTTTTTTACTGAGACCAGGGGCCACAATTTTTAATTTCCCGCAAGGCTGGTGCTTATGATTTCTGCAGGACCAGAAGAAAGTTTCCAAAAAATCAGAGCAAGAAGTAACATTTAAAGAAGACGTAAGACCTGGTGTTCAGGCTTTCATCTGCACAATTGATCCAGAAGCCCTATGCCTACGTACATGCTGGCCTTCATTAAGATCATACCCATCAGCAGGCTGAGAGTTTGGAATCCAGGTGCTCCGAGGTGCCTATCCTGACTCATAATAAAATGGCCCAGGGTCCTGCTTCCTCCAGCCCCTCCCTGCATGAAAAGCAGGCTGGGTACTTGTGAGTTCATTATGTGCAAGCTTCTACATGTTTCTGCCCACACCCTGTCAAAGCCAGCTTTTCTTCTTCACTTCTCAAGAATGAGCTTAGATTCCAAAATGAAAGACCTATGGCAGCTGAATTATATCAGGGATTGAGTAAAAACAATACTCCATCTGTTGGAACTCAGTGTTCAGCAAATACCTGCTTAATAACTCCAGCAAAGCTAAATGTGAGTTGAAGGTAGCAAGCCCCGTGACATTGCATTTTTGCTTGTTGAAATAGAAATAGAACTGGGAATGAGCCAGTACCTCTGTTTCAAGAATTACTTTAAGGAATCCTGAAATTATTTACTCCATGTATTTCCTTTCAGTGTTAATGAGGGGCTCGATCTTTTAAAACTGTGCAAGTGTATGTGTGTGTTCTAATGGTAAACTGCTTGTTGTTGTTGTTTTTTAATATACATAATAGTTGATTTAGAATCTGTGGCTTGACTTCCAAAGTTCAGCTACTCCTTCAAAATATTCAGTGTAATCCTAAGAAAGTGAATTCCATGCTTTAAATTTCCCATCTGCAGAATGGGGCAGTGTCAGGCATCGTCTAATTAACTGTATGAACATTTGGTATGTGACTTGAATTCATTGGGGAAAGTGAATTCAGAAATGAAAAATACATAGAGAACTTTGCAATATTTTCAAAACATGCCTAAAGATTGTGTTTACATACAATATATTTGCACATTTTCTACTACTGCTTTTCCTAAAAGGGAACTGTATATTTGATAAAGATTTTCCTTTTTAGGTTTCTTTTTGTACATTTCTCAAGTTTACATTTATATCTGTATGTTTGAATGAATAAGTACATATCGCCAAAAATGGTGTATGCTTTCTCCTTGCTGTGAAATTATTTTTTAAACTATCTCCACACATTTGTTGTGTTTCACTTGTGTCTCTTTTTTGAAATCCCTGCAAATAAGAATAAAAGTCTCCAAATACTTGGGAGAGACGTTTTCTTCATTGTGTTTGTTACAACAAAATTTAAACATTCAATCACTTTGTCTTGTTGGGAAATATTCGCAAGGGGCCATTTCACCAGCGCTGTATCACAGAACTGTCTTTGCAGGAATCTGGACTTTGATAACAGGTTTTCAGAAAGGGCAAAATCATTTCCCACTCCTTGGCTGCCAGCCTTGTGCCCAAGGTCCTCTGGCTGGCCACAGCCACGCCCTCCAGAAGACCCCCCTCTGTTCTTGCACGCTCGCCCCACTGGTTGGTTCAAAACCCAACCTGGCAGCTCTCCTCCTTGCTCCAGGGTTTCTTCTCAAGTCTCCTAAGTCCAGACCCCGTTCCCTACACAGACTCGAGCGTCCTGCGGGGCCGGGACCGCTGCCCCAACAAGCCAGCCCAATCACCCCCTGGGCACCCCGAACTCCAGTCTCGTGGTTCCGCCAGTTTCTTCTCTGCCTTCCTCCTGCTCACACTTTATCATCCCTCCTCCTGCCATTTTCTTACGGCCCCTCCTGGCCCCATCCATGACTCCCGCAGGCCCAACCTAGGGCTGGTGGCTGAAGAATGGCCCCAGGGAGGGGAGACTTGAGAAAGAGAGGGCAGCAAGGAGGGAGGGAAGGAGGAGAAAGCAGCAAATAAGGGGTGATCGGGTGGAAAAGTTCCAGGCTCAGCTGATTCTGGGTGCTCCCGAGCGAACTGGACAAGCTCCTTGTCCTGCGGGGGGCCCCACGGGCACACCCCTCAAGTCTGACTCTTAGTACATCCAGACAAATGGCTACGGGCACCCATGGTGGCCTTTGAGTCTGGCCGCGAGGGAGTACAGGAGTGGAACTGGCAAAGCTGGGGGGCAGCAGACGCAAGGAGGAGGGAGGGTGCGTGGGACCTCGGGGAGCCTCAGTCTGCCGCCCTCTGGCCATCCAGGGCTGCCCTGGACCCCAGGCTCCTCTGGGGTGGGGGGCCCAGGCTGCAGGGTTTCCACACTTTCAATTGGTCTCCCCTGGGAACACTCTACTGAAGCGTAAGTAACGCCCGGTGGCCCCTGAGCTGCACAGCGGCCTGGGACGCTGCACAGTGTCCCTCAGTCACGCTGGCCTTGGGTGGCTGAGCAGACTGCGAGGTCAGAGCATGACAGAGCGCCCGTCACAGAGGGCTGCTCGGGACTCGGACCCCAGCCGACATGTCGGTCGCAGCACAGGCCGTTCAGCCTGGGGCTTCCGACCGCCCGCCCCAGCCCTCCGGCCCTGTTGTCTCCTTCAAGGCAGGTTCCGCTCCTGAGATTGATTTTGAGACATCACTGACATGGATTCTGATTTCCACTAAGTAGTGGAAACGAGCCACTCAGATCCTAAAGTCACAAAGATCAGCTCCTAATTGCTTCCTAAAGTTACCTGCTGGGCTGGATCAGAAGTACAGAAACAGCCCATACAACAAATATCTGTCCTTGTTATTAATGAGATTCTCAAGACCAGTTCCATCTTTCGATTTCAGCTTAGAGCCTCAGCAGAAAGGTGCTGAGTCTGAGCTTGGGTGAGCGTTTAGGTCCGTTTGCCAAATCTTTCCAAAGTTCACTAGCAAGTGACCTGGAAAAAAATTCACATTAAGGTAGTAAAAAGGTTCAAGCGCCGGAAGAGCTTAAAATAGTTAACTCATCAACTAGCCTGGCATGAACTTAGGATAAGCTTGTCTTAGCATGTTTCTTGGTGGAACTAGGGAAAAATAATCCAAAACAACTGCATTTATAGAAAGGACAATTCAGCTGTAGGGTTCAATACAAACTTCTCTGGTAATAAATGACTGTAGCACCTGACAGAGCTGGGGGTCCCGTCTCAGCCTTCTGAAGAAGGTGCCTTCTTCTCCGACTTTCAGAAAAGCTTTGGGTTTCTCCCTATCTTAATAATTCATTGTAAAAATCACCGATAAAATCATAGAAGCATGACCCAGGCCTGGCTACATAATTTTCAGGCTATAAAATTAAAATGAGGAGCCCTTTATAAAAAAGCAGAAGCTAAGAACATCACAAATAGTGGCACAAGGAAATTCAAGTGTAGGCCAGAGGTAGGGAGTGGGGATGAGAGGGTTCACCAGAGACAGTGGGGAGCAGAACAGACGGAGATTTTCCTTTGCAATTTTGTGCTAAAATATTTATCTCTGTTGCGTTTTTTAATGCCTCCTTAAAATCCATGCCTAGAACTAGTGCTCACTCTTTTGACCTTCCGGTTACGGCGGGCAGGGGTGAGTGTCCCTGAGCTGCGTTGGTCCGCCAGCCCTGTCCCTCATGACACTCTAGTCACATCCTCCACAGAAGGCCAGGTGGCATGGGCTGGGGGCTCAGCGCTCACACCAGCGTGTCTGATGCCCTGGCAGGCTCGGAGGCCCCGCACCCCACAGCTGACTGCAGCGGGATGCCCGGAGCCTCTCTGTGTGCCGACCGAAGGTGACACCAGATGTTGCCAAATGTCTGGGGCAGGGACCAAGATGTTTCCCGGTGGATCTAACTCTCACTTGAATTATGCTCTACTGAGATATCATTAGAGCAAAATTCTAAGTGTTCGATGCAAATTCCACTCATCGAAGTGAGCATTTAAAAAGACTGTGCACTCATCCCACAAGCCCTTACTGTCTCCCCGGAGATCTGCATACACAGCTTGAGAATGCTTGCACTGACAAGAGCCAGCTTTCAGGCTTTGGAGGAATGAGTTATGAATTGTTGGAGATTAAAATCTGCGCTACGGATTAGTATCGGGAAGAAGAATTGGTTTGCTGGGCCAGATTAGACCAAAGTGTGAACTACAATAGGAACAAGTGAGTTAATTGTAACTAAAGCTGTCTACATAACACATTCCATTTACCCAGTTCAGAAGGAATCCAACTGCCTATAATGTAAAGTTAGGGGAATATATAAATTTCCACAGCAGTGTCAAAGTTGCTTTGAGAATCTATTCATGACTAAGGTATTTGTCTTGTGCTACAAACAGTCTCATGGATCTTGTATCAAGTCCCAGAAAGTCATTTGAGAAAAATGACGTGATCTAGGTATTATTGCTCAAACCATTGTTGATGATTCAGTTCTAGACTATGTCTTTGGAAACATATTTGTCTCAACAAGCTAATCCATTTTTATCTATTATTGATTAACTAGTGACTGATTAACTAGGTGCAAATGTTAATGTAGAAAACATCCAGATTGGTTCCCTTGCCTACCCTTAATGCTATGCATTTGAACAGGCAGATGGAAAATCCTCAAATTTCTAGCACTTTCTTACTACTGGTATCAAAAAGCTCCATGCTCAGTCTGGCTGTTAGCTTGCTCTGAACACCGTGAGAGCTGAGGTCAGGCATTCTTCTTCTCAACCACTTTGCCATGACCTAACCTGATCTGGTACAAAAAAGAAGCCCAAAATTCTTAATTGAAGAAATGAATCATCTTTAAAAGTTCATTCACTTCATTTGCAAAGGTACCGTCGCCCCACCACCACCACCACCACCACCACCAACTGATTGCTGTTTTGCTTTCTGTGACTTCTGGGTTTGATTCCAAACCCTGTTTCTTATTCTCCATCATGTTCCAAATAATCTTTTATCCCCTTTCCATATCAGTACCAAAATCACCAGCTCATTTTACCATTTTTTAAATCAATTCTATTTAATGACTTTCTGATGTGTATGATAACGTAAATGTATTCGTTCACTAAACAGGAAAAGTCATCTTGGGGGAAATTGCCTGACATTGAGGGGCTCACCTTGAAACTGAAGTTCACAGGGTTAGGACTTGTTTTTATCTTAGTTTCCCTGTTTGCAAGGATACCATGGAGGAGGACTTATCTCCAAGTCTTACCATCAAGTTGTGCTGAGTGCTTTCTCGTCCTTCTCTAACTAAGTGCCTACTTCAGAGGCTCGGGAAGAACTGAGAAACAGAATCAACAGGCTGTAAAAACCGGAATTAACCTCCAGGTCAGTGTCTTCTTTCAAGCATGGAGGTGGAAACAGTTCCAGTGGCTGCATTAGCGGGGGAAGGAATAGTATTTGGCCATTAAAGATTTACCAAATTGTAGTTCCAAGATTCTATTTTTGGGGCATCACTGAGCCCACAAACACTGCACCTTCTGTACCTGAACTTTGCACATCCTCTCTCTAGTTTACTATAAAAAGGAGATTCTTTAATAAAAACTGGGCACAGAGGAGAGCTGGAAATTTCTTTGGTTCTTAATGACCTTCCTTGTGATTCCTGAATGTCTGGCTGAACAAGCACAAACTAGTGAATGTCAGGGAGGAAACCCAAGTAAAATATTGTCTTTCTTTTCATTTAGAATGAAGTGTTATGAAAATGAGCACTCCAGGAGCTCTTGACACAATGAGGCAGTGCTGCCTTGGAAGAAAGCACACTCTACATGAAGTGAAATGAGAACCATGTTGTCAGGAAACATGTGAGGTGCTAGAAGATTCTTTAACATGAGTCAGAGACCAGTTGTTTTGGGTCCAACAAGAACCTCAGAAATTATGTGTTTGGCTTTGCATGGTGTGTTATAAATTCTGAACTGGAGTTTAAAATCTTTAAATTTCAAGAGATTTCACCTTCAGGATAGGGGGTCTGAGTTCTCCTCCAAATGTTAGCTCCGCCCACAGTGGGCTAGTGTCCTGATGAGCACAGCTGGCCGCACCTGGATCGCAAAAGTCCCCTTGGGCGTGCCGGGGCCCCCTGAGCAGCCTCTGCCTCTCCCTGCTGCCTCCTACCCAGTGTCTCTCCCTATGGAGA